GCAGCGGGAGTTTGTTCAATGCCCGCATAAAGGCAGACAGGTATGTGCAGGGCCCAGGGAGGAAGAAACCGCCAGGAACGACTTCATCGCATTCAAACTCAGAGACTCTTAGCCTGTCGAATCGTTACACTCAGCCAAGTGCTCGCCAGAGACAGGCAGTTCTGCCAGCAGTGTGTGGAATTATGCAATTATTCACAAAATGTACTTTGGGAAATGTAATCTTGCTATATATGGCAAGGTAAGGACAACCTAAAGAATGAGTGTGCTTCCGCTTTTTAAGGTTTAACATGTAGCCTTCTGACCACTTTTTATTGGGTAACATATCATATGAGCACTTTGGTGTTGGCTCTAGAAAAACTACAGCCAGAGATAACACGGGGAATGCCTTCAGTATTAAGGTGCTAAAAATGGATGCTAGATAGTCCAGCGTGAAAGACAGCACACAGATGTGGTATGAAAGGGGAGGAAAGCCATGTGAATATTTATACATAAAAGCCTTGGGGTGGGCTGAGTCACGGCCTGAGTATCTGTGCAGGTAAGTCATTCATAAGAAAACTAATTACCTACCTGTACTCCAGCTTGTTTCATTGAATACGCTGCATGTGTGCATATGTGATGTTCTTTGTGGCTATGCAATTGTATATTTGGTCGTTTTAAAAATGATAGCCTTGGGAGAAATTTTTAAGTGGAATATATATACTTATATATGTATATATTTACATTGCCCCCACCAAGCCATTGTGCTTTTTATACATAATTGCTAGGAAAGAAAACCGATCCTAGCAACAGGATTACAACTGCTTGAAATCTAACTCAAGGCCTGTGTATTTTAGTGTAAATCAACGTGCTTAATATATTATGCGATTTTTGTTTATTTGTTTTCATTTCAAAGACAAGAAATAAGGATGCTTTTTGATCCAGATAAAGTCCCTCATTTCTAGCCCTATTAAGATGAAAATGAAACTCAGTAAAATTTGGATGTAGCAACTAAAGTGCAACATACAACATGGTTGAAAATGTCTTCCCAGCAGAAGGCTGTCCATTGCTGGATCTACACATTTTAAAAATAGATGTGCCCCCCCTCCGCCCAATAAGAAAGGATAGAAAGCACTGGGGCTGTACGTTTTAGTTCAGAATCTAAAAATTCTTTTGAAATCCTTAGAATCACTTGTTCATATATATGCATTATTTCAATACACTAGTCCCAAACAATGTTTTTGCTAAGATGAAGTTAATTAGACAATCAAACTTTCAGCCTTGAGCAATGGATAGATATTACAGCCTATCATGAAGTCATTCAGGAAAGGGAAAAAATGTGCTTTTCTTTTATAACCAAACCAAGAGGCTATACAGCTAGCATTGCATACATGACACATGTGCATATTTGGAACCTTAAATAAACAGAAGCAGGGAGGCAACTGCATACATATTAACTAGTAAAAGACAACAGTAGGCACTGGCCATAAACTACAGACAGAAAAGGACAAGAGAGACAGAGACACATAGTAAAATAGCAACAAAAAAAAGAGAGGGCAGAATAAACCGATAGAATCTGAACTTTTCGCGAATTAAAATATGCAAATATATATTTACATATGCATCAGTATTAAAATAATACACGCTGGAACCAACAAGAGCGGGAGCAGGAGGAGGAGAGAAAGAGTAGGAGGAGAGGAGGAGGAGGAGGAGGAGGAGGAGGAGGAGGAGGAAAGAATGGAGGAGCCGCGGAGCCCTGATTATGCATGGGCTGGAGCTGCCTCCTCTAACCTGTTCTTCTTCAAGCTGGGCAGCCAGCGGTCCTCAGCCGCCCACAGAACAGGAGCCGAAACAACCGTTCTCGAAGGCTACAGCGTTTATTTTTCTCTTTTGGGGGATTTTGGCGGTTGTTTCAGGGGCTCGCCAACTAGCCCCTTTAATTAAAAGCCTCAATAAAAGGCGTTTGCGCCCGGAATGTACCGGCTCCTCTCCGCGCAGGATTTGCATATTTTTTTAATGCCCTAATTTCCTTGATGTATGTAAATGTAGCCGGACGTAGAGGCAGACAGGGAGCTGACGTCAATGGACGTGACCTCGCAGCTAAACCTTGAACGTGAAGCCGGGCTGGGGGAAAACACGGAGCGGCAGCTAGTGGAACCCGCGAGCGCGGCAGCGGCGGCGGCTAAGCCAAGGCCCGAGAGGGCCTAGGGGGCTTGCGCTGACCTCTTGGGAGATCGGGCCACCGCTTCTCCCCACCGCGTGGGAGGCGCCCTGTCTCGCCAGCCTCCCGGGGCTACCCACTGGCTTTTATACTGTGCCTCCAACCTCGCCAAATACATGTTCTTTTGCGTCCCTAGGGGAGAAAAAAACCCTGCCAAAATACGCCCCCCCCCCGAAAAAAGCCTCAAGAAACCAAAACAGTAACATACACCAAACCAAGCCGAGCTCCCAAACGTTTAAGAAAAAGGGCTTTGACAATGGAACATCTTTGGGGGTGGTGGTGGTGTAATGGCTTCTCTCTACGAGAAAAGGAGGGGGAGACTGCAGACAACAGCACGTCACTTCTAAAACGCTATAAACTCTGCGTGTTCCCAGTACATTGCCCAGTACATTCCCAGTACTGGTGGGGTGTTATTGGTTTCGGTACCTGTTTACCTGTGCACTCTTTTTGCGCGTGGGCGTCATTGACCGCCGTGCCATTGTGCGCCTTTTAAAGCGATCCCACGCTCGTGTGTGTGTACGCGCGCGCGTGCGCGTGTGTGTACTCGCGCGCGCACGCGCGAGTCCTGGGAAGATACTTGGTTGATGAGCACCGAGGCAGACGCTGTGGGCGAGATCAGAAAGATCCGTCTTCTCTCCACGTTTGGGGCTTATTTGTTGGACCGTGTAGGCTGGTCTTGGGCTGGGGTTCGAGTTTCCCCTCTTTGAAGGGATGTACTACCGAAGGTACCCCTAGAACAGCCAGGCCTTTCGGATCGCTTCGTCGTGGTGGCGGCTGGAAAGGCAGGCAGCTCTGCGGCCACAGTCCTGGGCGCTGCCTTGGGGGCTTTGGCCTGATGTGTTTTTCATGGGAGCTACGCGCTTCAGAGAGGAGGTGGCGGCTCCTGGAGCGGGGGAGGGAGGAGTTCAGATTCACCGCGCTCCCTCCTCCCCTCCTGCCGCCTCAGCCTTCATTCTAGCTAGTGCGTGCCCACGCCCCGGGCGCGCGGGAGGAGGCGCGTTGGTACCTCCCTATGCCCGCCTCTTGCTTGCCACCCTCTCCAAGGCGGCTAAGGAAACGGTTGCTGGCTTTCCCAGAGCTGGGCCCCGGAAAGCCGAGAGCAGAGGGAGGGCAGGATCTTGACCGGTAAAGGAAGGGGCGCCAGAGGCCGCGGTGTCGGCTTCCCAGCCCTGCCCTCGGCTCTCGGAACAGCAGTTTCTTCCTTTCGTCTCGCAGCTCCAGCTTTGTCTTCCTGGCTTACCCTTGGCCACGGGGCCCCTACGCCGCGAGGGGAGTGTATACGTGTGCACGGAGGGCGGGCGTGCGCGGCAGGAGGGGGCCCACCCGCCAAGGGCACGCAAGGCTGTCTGTCCTGTTCTCGGGCTGCACTTGGCGGGAAAGCAGGGGGCCGCCGGCGGGGCTGTGCGCCTGCGGCTCACATTACCGCCTCCCTTCTCCCCCCCACTCCCGGTCACATTTACATACGGACCACTCGTTTGAATTTTTACAACCCCCGACCCACCCACCCCGCCACCGGTCGCACGCGCGCAGGCTCGGAGGTGTCGCCCCCGCGCGCCGACACCCCGCACCCAGGCTGCAGCCGGCCCGCAGCCCGCGAACAGGCCCAGCGAGCGGCACAGACCGCGATCCGAGGGTGGGTTCCTGCATCCCTACCTTCAGCACCCACCCCCCTGACGTCTGCACTCCTGGTGTTCCAGGAAGCCCCCCTCCAATGTCCCCACCCTTTCCTTTCTTCCTACACTTACCCCCACCCTCCCACCCCTCCCTCTGGAACACACATGCCCATCCACGCACACGCACGCTTTTTCTTTCTCCTCAAATAGATAACCCCTATGGCGAGTCCCTAGTACCTTTTGAATAGCTCTGGAGTTTAGAGAATAAAATCTTTATAATGTGTTGCTTGTCTTTAGCCAAACAGTTAACAACCACAATAAAAAGAAGGGGAGGAGTGAGGAAGGGAGCTTGAACCAAAAGACATTTCTTTGAAGAAAGAAAAGGGGGTGGGGAACTGCTGTCAAAAGGTCATTCTCCAAGTTTGTAAATAAAATTGCAAAGGGAATCCTGAAGAAAGCAGGAGAGGAAAGAAGGCAGGGCCGAAAAGACCCACAAGTTACATAAATGATGCATTGGAAAATAACGAGACAGGGCGATTTTTTTTAATGAGGCTAAAGAAAGCAAGAGAAAAAGGAACTGAGTGAAAAATTTTTAGAAAGAGGGAAAAGAAAAGGTAGAAAAGGCAAAAGAAGTTTCCAAAGAAATGTGTGCTTTGCGCCCTACAATAGGAAAATGTAGCCATTGCCCTTCTTCAGACGAGACATTTCTAATTTGTTCCGTCTGTCAGGAGGGGACCATGAGAGGTTTGGGTGCAAATTCATTATCTCTGGCAACGCAGAACGTAGTGTGGGGACTGAAAAAGACCGTGGCAATGGATGAACAATAGGGCTTCAGTTCATCAGTAACAAAAGCAGTGGGGAAATTGGTTGAGTTTCAGAGCACGTCCTCCTCGGCAGAGGGGGCTGGACTAGACCTTGGACAGCCCCCCCAAAAACTTGCCGAGCCTCACACACACCACTTCACTCTCCACTCCGAGGCTCAGGGAGCAAGTGCATGCATTGGGGGGGGGGGGAATTGGCTTTCCCCCCCTCTTTCGTCTTTTGCATCCAGCTCCCTTTCCCCAGAAGGGAAGGCCCGCTTAAACTCTTTTAGACGCAATCAAACAAGAATCACCGTGTGGAACTGAGCGGCAGTTTTAAATGTGCGAAGCAGAGAGATGATCTGGAGAAAGGAAAAAAAAAATTTTTTTTTTTTTTTGGAGACGCGGAAAAGAGCCTGTTTTGTGTGCTGCGGCCGCGCTGTGACTCTGGATCTTGTTTCCTTGCGGGTGCCTCGATTCCTGCCCAGCTGGATTTGGGGGACAACACTGCTTGGCGCAGGGAGGACAGCAAGTGAGTACCTTGGCGGCCCGCAGGCGGCAGCTCGGCCTGCGGCGTGGAGCCAACCGTGCTCGCCGCGGCCCCACGCCCGCGCCCCCCACCTTGCCCGCGGGCCGCGGAACCCCGCCGCGGGCCGCTCCGAGGGCCAGTCCGGGGCTTTGCTGCAGCTAATTGATTGTGTGCCTGGGATGCTAAACCTGTTGATCTCTTGAGTTGTCTGGACCGGGACTGTTAATTATCCAAGGACCTGACTCGCCAGCGGAGAGAGATGCCAGGAACATTTGGCAGTGGAAAGGGTGATTTTTTTGTATGTAATTTTATAGGGATTGTCGTGGGGCTTTCTGTTTTTAAACCCAGAGCAACAACAGTTGTATTTTGCGACCCTGGATTAAGGAGTCGCCTTTTGAGGAATTCTCCTCGTAATCGCCCCAAAGTTGCAATTACCTGTCAATGAAGCCAGGGCCTGATTGGATCCTGGTGGAAAACTTATGGGTAGTAGTTCCCTAGATTTGGTGCACTTTCCCTTCCTTTATCTCGTCGCCTTTTGGATTTGGGGAGATGAGAAGCCAGTTGACTGGCTTATCCGAAGTACAGATTCATCAAGATGCAACCTTTGCGGCTAGTTATGGGGATTTGTAGCGTGTCTGCCAAACGACCCTCCGGTATCTGAGCGGAACCTCAGTTTGCTGGGAGCTCAGTCTGGGCTGCTGGAGGCCCGACCTCCCTCCCCTCCGTGGAATCCTAAGTCCGAGAGAACCTGGGGCGGGGGTGAGGGGTGGGGGACGGGACTGGGGCAATGTATTTGCATTACAGTCTGCGGCGTTTTCTCTTGCAAATGTACCCGGGGTGCTTGAATAGGGGACTGTCCTGAGGGGTCGGGTCAGCAGAGGAATTGGTCAGAAGTTAGACAGCAGGCCCTGTCAAGTCACGGCCACGGCCATGGACCCCTTTTAGAGCCATAGTTGCCTTGGGCCTAGAAGAGCAGAGCGGGATCCAGTTTCCTTCCTTTTCACGTTTCCACCTCTGCTGACCACCTCCCTCCCCACCTTGACACCAGTAATGAGGGCACTGTCTGAGGACGCTAGCTCCCACTGAGCCAGTGTAGCCCTTACTTTCATTTTGCAAAACCAATAGCCCCACCCAGCCATTCCAAAATAACAATAAACATGAGAGATCGTACAAGGAAAGCAGCCTATTTGGGGGAGTGTAAGACTTCTAGAATACTGGGTTGTGAGGGGGTGGGGGAAGGGAAGAGAAAAATTCTCCACTTTACAGCAATCAGGTTTTACATTATTCATTGATTTACTAGAGGAAGGAACCAATCAGGAGCCATAGATATGAATGCACATCTCACCGTGCTGTGGCCTTACAGTAAACTATTTGCATCTTTCTAATGGATTATATATTTATCTAGGGATTCCCATTGTTTGAAAGGCCTGGGAATTCAGTCTCTTCAACATTTAGAAAATAAGACTTTGTTATAGTCCGAAAATCTTTAGATGGAAAGACTCTCCCTGCTCTTTTGTATGGCAGGTTACAGTGTTCAAATCCCTGATGTTTCTTAAGAGTCCCCTCTTCCAAGCTAAAAAGAAAAGAAAAGGAGAAAGAAAATATTAATTTCTCAAACCCCTCCAGATTCTGCATATTTTGCAATCCCATTATCAGGCATGTCTCCATTTAAATGCAAATTAGCATATTTAACCCTGTGGGTGCTGAAGCCTAAGCTATATTGTACTGGGGTTTTATGGAATCTCTTGGCATTTTAAGACATTATGGCAATTGAAATACTTTAAATGAAACCAAATCAAGGCATGATTATATATATATTAAAACTGTGATCATTTGTTTTCTTGACTATTTTTCAGATGAAACTACAAAGAAGCATAAAATGAATAGACAATCCAAGCAAGCAAAGGTAATTTAAATTTTTACATTTGATAGAATCAAAGCCATGCACAAAATCAAAATAGAACATTCTTTGCTTGGTTGCAGGTCTGCAGTGTTTTGCACACATCCTTCTTGCAATAAATAGACTTCCAGAAAAATCTAAGTATTCATATATGCAAGGTTTTTTATCCCTGTAGGTAATCTTTGTGTGTTATATATTACGCATAACACAAATATAACATGTAACTGCCTATAAAAAAGAAATTTGGAATATAGGAAAATAATAAGACACTTTTATTAGAAAGTAAGCTAGTCAAGTACCTTGTCTGAACTATACAAATCACTGTAATTAAATGGCTTTTATGTAGGAAATGGTAGTCTTAACCACATTAGTGAACTGTGGTTTACATGCATGAGAATCATACAGAACAAATATTAAAAGGGGATTTGTGTGATAGGCCAACTGTGTGTCATTCTGCAGTTGTCTGAACAAGATGCTAAGAGGTATTCTAAATATTAGTGACAAACCTGATGTATATGCATTTATGAAATAGCCTATTTCTGATCCCAATATGTAGATAATCATAACTTTAAAAAAACACCTTAAGTATAGATTGTTTATTCCTAAGAAAATCAGGATGCCTCAGCTCATGTTTCAGCCATCTGGAGACATAAAAAAAGATTAGAAAGCAAGCATGACAATCACGTTCTAATCTAGTGGCTATTAATGGGAATTTATTAGAGAGTGTGCAGACAAATCTTTTGAGCTCAGTATCTCCTCAATATGCAGGTTTCAAGTGTTTTGTAGTTCAGCTAAATATCTTTTTTTTAAGAGCAGAACTATCTGAAATGAAAACATGTAGGTATTAATAGTTGCTTGTAATGTGTGGCAACAGCACTAGGAATCTTTGCAACAGCAAAATTGCTTCAACTTGTCTCACACCCCAGATAAAATACAAGCCTTGACACTGTATGTGATCTACCATGATATGAACTGTGTCTACAGTCAAATTATTCAGGTACTGTGTGTTAAGCCTTCCTGTGTATGTTTTATTTCCCCATGCTAAGAGAGGTGATAGAAATGCAAAATATTTAATTGGCGATATATGGTTATTGAACAGGCTGCTTATAGTCTTCAAGTTGGCTATATGCACTTGCTTGGGCTTTCAGACTGACTCTCTGGTATATGTGATAGAGATGGGGGTAGATTGCCATGGAAAATGCTATTTTAAGACCCTATCATCTGGAGCTTTTAATTGCAGAAGCATGTCAGATGTTCAAGGGTTTTCATTATAGGTACTTTTGGTCTGAAAATGCATTTAATTTTTGAATGTGTGGATATGTAGCCACATTACCTTGTAAACCACACGAAATGGGGTTGGTAAACACAGACATACTTATATCCTGCCCAAGCATGTATTAAGCAAAATGAGGCTCTAAAAGTACCTGGAATCTCTTAAGGCTTCGAATTCAGGGATTTAATTCATAGGGTCACATGCTTGCTTTATATAATATATGCTAAGTCATTAATGATTCTGCTTCTAGGGTTTGGAAAATGAGGCAACAATACTCTCTATCTTCCCAGGCAGCAAAGCTTATCAAGCTTTTACATAATGTCAGAGTGGCCTGTGCTGAATTTTTATCCCATATTTTGTGTTGTGATCTTAGTTCAAGAAGGACCAATAACTTCATGGAGTGTGTTTCTCTGAATTAGTTTGTAGTTTGCATATACTTTTAAAAACAACCCAATGCATTAGTTTTTAAAATCAGATCTCTTATACCATAATTTGATAAGAAAAATAGATGTGTGTTTTCCACACATCCAGCTTAGTCATTTTCTAAATAGTCAACACTAGAATTCTCACACACAACAATAAATGCACACTTAAAAAGTAAAGAAAAAACTGGCAATTGTGGTATTAAGTCATATCTTTAATTTATGTGGTATTCTCTTAAATGGTGGGTTTCTTAGCCATGCTGTTTTTTTCTTCATTTGCCATTCTTTTCTATAGGGTTTGCATGTGTGCTTTGTAGGTAATTAAGCATGTTCACACTAATGTGTTAAATAAATTAATTACTGAATTGGTGCAATAGTATATGTTAGTTCTGAAAAGTGTTCTGGTCATTGAGGGAGATAGTCAACCCATAGAAATAAGAATCTTTGGATGGGTTAGTGATCTGTAAAATGAATATGAGGATTTATGACATTTTCTTATAGCATATATTTTAAAGAATAGTAACATTGCCCTACATAACTCATCATTTTGAAAACACAAAAAGCAAGCCCTAAGGTTCACCTTTGGTGATAAGCATCTTATGAAGATTGCATCTGAGCTATTCTGTCGAGGGGCACCTGAGTTCATGGAAAATTCCATTATCTTTTCATTTCACTCTTCCATGAACTTTTTGAAGCCCTGTCATACATATTATAGATGCAATAGACAAAACTTGCAAATTACAAAGGAGAGAAGGGAAAGAAAAGACTCTCTTCAGGGATCATTTTTACTTTAGAAAGTCTAAGAAAAGGATTGAGGTGAATTAATAACACAGCACATACACAGCCCCCCCACTAGGAGGAAGGCATGGGTGCTGAGGGGGAGGAAGGGATAGTCTTATGCTTTTAACATCCAGGTGTTCTATCTTTATTTTCCAAGTTGTGAAATATACTATTTTTAAAAAGTAATTTCATAATCAATACGAATACATTTGGCTCTTCTGTGTGAATACCACTGTTTAAAACCGGAAGACAAAGGCTCAGCGTTTTTATTACAGCAGAGTTAGGTACATTAGAAAAGATTGCTGGGATGTTTACCTGTGCTGCATTCTAACACATGCACACACCTTCTACACAGAGTCAGTTTAAAAAACATCAGGATGGAGTCCACTTGCACAGAGCATTCAGTTTGAACTTAAGAACAAAATACGCTGCCCTAAAACCAGGAGCGAGCTGTGAAGCCCTTAAAAACACACCACCAGAGCAAATGGTCAATGTAATCACACATCGACTCACTGCGTAAAACAGATCTGATTCCCAGTCCCAGAAAGCAAGGCCCTGCTTTAAGCAATAGCAAAGTGCCTTCCATCTGTCTGCCTATGCAATCTGCCAGAAGAGAAATGCAGGCAAAGACGTTCGTTCCCCAGATCTGAAATGCTTTTATCTGTCCTTAGAGAGAGATTTCGCCCAGTCTTTGGATATTAGAGCGATCGACACTAGCACGGAGGAGGTAAAAGGCCGCGGGTTGCTTTTCCAAGAGCGGTCGGTAGCGCTAACGGAAGAGATGTGGGTTGAGAAAATAGAGCTGGTTGCAATGCTGCAGCGACTGCTGCCGTGGCTCCGGCTGCAGGCTGCAGGCTGGGGCGGTTTGCTGATCACTGATGCATATCAATAATAGCGTACTTGAGATTTCTCATGACATCATCATTACCTTGGTCTCCCGTGGTCTCGAACCTTTGACCTTGCCGGGCTGGTCCACATTTTGGCGGTGAAAGCCCCTCCAATGACGGTCCTTTTTTCCTTCTTTCAGACCGGGGGCAGCAGCAAGCCAGCAAGACGGCATCTTCTCCTCCCCAGCCTAGAAGCCCTGTGAAATCGAGGATCTTCCCCCTAAAACACACACACACAAGATGTGTGCAATCAAGCTGCCACCGCTTGGTTAAAAAAAAAAAAGCTCATGCTGCCTAACCCCAAAGGATCAGGAGCAGATCCTTGAATCAGCTGTCACTTCTTCTATAGACTGGAATGTTTTGTTTTGTTTTGTGTTTTTTCTTCCTTCCTCCTTAACCTGCGCTGGAAAATTGCCTTTGGCTTTATACATCTCTATAGAGGGAGGCTAAAGAGTCTTGCGTGAGAATGAAGCCATTTACAATGCAAATAGAGGCCCGTGAAGGGATGAAGGCTGCTGCTTACTCTTAACTGCTTGCTGCACCGTAATAGCTGGTTTTATTTTCTGATATTCATAGATGAATTGTTGGCTGACGCTGCCGGAGATTACTTGCTGAAAAGAGAAAAAAAAAAAAGTTCGGAATAAACTTTGAAGGCACCAGACCTCGTTTGGATGTTTTAGCTGCACACACACAAACAGAAACCAGGTCATATTTACACACAAGAAAGGAGGAATCTTAAGAGGCAAGTCTCCTGGAGGACTACTCTCCGCTGCTGCCCGAGAGGACCAACACCTGGAGTATGGCCGGAGGAAGACCAAGAGGCCATGTGAGGGAAGCGAGTTGTTATCTTTGGTTATCTAGCTGTATGAGTGTATTGGTCTTCATAAAGCTAGATAACCGAAAGTAAAAACTCCTTCAAGATCGCCGGGGAGCGTGTGAGAATGAAAGACTGCAACCAAGAGACAGTAAATACCAAAAGGTCAGGACTACTTATTGCATCTAACTTTGTGTTTGGTTGGCTGGCTGGTTGGTTTCCTTATGATTAAAGATGGGATGAGAGGAAATTAAGCGACCCACCTATGATGATCTATAAAGACGCCAGATTCTCTGAGAGGGGTCGCTAATGCTGCCGATGCAGATGCAGGTGCAACTTGTTCTATTTAAGGCAGAAGTTTATATCCGAGGGGTCTTGTTTGTTTGTGTTTTGTTTTCTTTTCAGTCATTTATTTATTGCTTTATTAAGAAAGGTGTTGTAGAGGTGCCTGGCACTTAGTTTTAAAATGATCCCTTCATATGTATGTAGATTCAGTCAGTTCCCCTACTGAGGTTTCCCCTCCCCCACAAAATGTGAAGCTTGTCATTGGAAATTCTTTCACATGCATTTGGGCTGCATTTCACGTGAGTTGAAATCAGGAGCTGAAAAAAGTTTATACTGAAAGGTTAATAATTTCTATCTACTGAGGATTTAGAGCTAGCAAGGTACATGGAGAGAGAGAGAAAGAGAGAGAGAGCGAGCAAAGGCTGATTTTTTTTTATTCTTCTATTCAAAATACAAGGACAGATGCTTCTCTGTTCCAAGAGGGTTTCCTTGAGGAAGCTACTGAAGCAGAAAGACATGATGGAGACGAGATCGCCTCCCCTCTTGTCAAAGTGTTAAAAAAATGTTCTGTCTCACTCTGCGCCTAGCATTGGAAGTGAAAGTGACATTTACGCCACAACCCACGTGTGCGCCTCCTCTCTTTTTGTTTCAGGATGATCAGGTCTATCCAGGAAACAGCTCTGGCATCCCAAACTGAAATAATTAGGACGTATATAGACCTGACAAAAATGGAAAGGGGGTGGGGGATCTGAGGGTCTGTCTTGCCTAATTGATTCCGCTAAACGGAACGCAGGAGATGTGAACGGCAGGACGCTCCGATTCCCACGCTCGGGGGCAAGTGGTAAAGCGGGGCCCAGCAGCCTATGACAGACAGCCCTGTTTGGGGGGGGGGGGGCGTATGAAAAAAACATCAAGTGCACACACCATACTCATCTCCATCACTTAAGAAAGTAGAGGCATTTCCCACCCACAGCCATCTGCAGCCTCCCAAATGGCAGCTCCAACTGGTCTGTAGCTGTTGCTTGCTGCCTGCTTCTGTTCATTTTATAACCGCTGCTTACTCTGGCCATAATTCAGTTTGGCTTTCTTATTGAGTTGAGATTTCCAAAATTCGGGGAAAGTTGGTAGAAAGTGATCCTATGAAAGGCTCATTACTGCTTACCTACCCCTCATGACAAATTCCCACTTTGTACTTGGGGCCTTGTGACGACCTCATGGCTTTTGTTTAAGGTGGGCTATATATTTGAAAATAAATATTTGGGTAGAGCAGTCATTCTATGACTTCATCAGGCTGCTTCTCGAGGAACTTGGCTTAATTACGCTTAGTAGACACACTGAGTGTACAGCGTTAAAATCATCAGCCTGTTTAGTTACAATAACCAGGTAATAATAGGTTTCTTTGGGGGTAGTGCAAGGCAGCTGCATTCTAAATAATCATATTTATTGAATCTCAAAGTAACTGTGCTTAATAGAAAACGTGGATGCTTGCTGGCCCCCCCATTGCAGTTTTTTCCACGGGTCAGCAAGCAAACGTCTGCATAGGCATTTACATGTAAATACAAACTTGGCCATCAGAAAATCCCCAGAATGGCCTGCTATCTTCCCTGGGGCCTAGACAGTTTACAATCCCACTTAGACCATCTTTCTTCAAAAGCGCTGTATTTTCCTTTGTAGCTTCAACTCCTTGTAAGGCTTCAGAATTGGAGAAGCTTGTAAAATCACTATTAGTTTCTGTTAGAAACTCAGAGACTTTATTAATGTAAATTCCCAATTTGGCTGCTGAACACGTGCCAGAGTTTTACTACTGTAGTGACCATTGCGAAGACCCTTGTTTATTTACATTTGAAGCACTGTTTGTGCAAACAACCTTTCATTGTTAAGTGCCTGTATTCCTTTCATTTACTTCATGTCCAGGGGTGCTATTTACCTAGAACCATTGTCTACTACAATTAACATTTACATTACAAAGTGTGTGGTTCTCTTTCTCAAGGAGGTTCAATTAAGGCAATAAGATGTTTGCTGGGGAAACCTATTGTTTACTGAAAGCCCTCAATGGAGTCAAATTACTGAAGCATTTGCCTACATCTTGGTCTTTTATGGAAATGTGTTAAATATAACATCTAAGGAAAATAAACAATATTATAATTATGTGTTTGCCATTGTCATATCAAAGTTACTTTGTATCATACTAATGTTACATGACTTATCGATCAATAAAAATGCATTTCAATGTTATTATTTTCATTTTATTTTTTGCTGTTCCACAGCTCTGGCTGCAACATGTCCCCAATTTTTCTTTTTTCTATTACACATCAAACTTCTGACATTTTGTTTTATTTGTGTGTGTTTAAGAGAGGTACTGTATCTGAGCTTGGGCCTAAAGGGTATTCGAGATAAATTCTACAATGACCTTATATTAAGGTGATATTTCTTAGAAATCTGAAATATTCCAAAGGCATGAACATTTAAGTCAAAAGAAGTGTAAATATCAGTTCAGTAGTTCTTTGAAAGTTAGTTTTAACATTGGAAGAAGCAGGATCAAGTTTATGTAGCATACCACTGCATTGTAAAACAGTTGGGAGTGAAGTTGCTGGTTGCGTGAGTGTGCATGTTAACTAGTGGGAACGAAGCTCAGTCTTTGTGAAAGGGGAGCAGCAGATTGCTGTGCAAGGCCAATGTTAAAAAGGCAGCTGAATTTAACACCATCTGGAAGAAAAGATCCCTTCACGACTTTCTCACACCGTCAGACAAAACTAGTGTCTCTTGTTCCGAGCCCTTGTCTATGCAACCATACAATACTGAGTCATTATACTTTTGCTGAGAGAAAATTTGAGAACACAATATGGGTAACCAGTGAATGACCAAGTTTCATTGTGCCCGCTTAAGTCGATTGAAATCTACGTCTAGAGCTATGAATGGTAGTATTGTTTTCCTCACCAGGGCTGTACTAAATGTCAGCACAGTGTAAAGAAAAACTTGAAGTCTGCAAATAACTTACCAGATCTCAATTATAATATTTTCCCACACTAGAACTAATATCATTGAGAGGGGCTACATTGCAGAAAATACAAAAAGAAACAACAACAACAAAAAGAGAGAGCGTTCATTTAAAAGTTATTTTATCTAGATAAACATTTAAATTTTCTGATGAGAACTTCAATTCAGGCTGTAGACTGGGTGGACAAGTGGAATTCCTTGCTAGGAAGTTCAAGTTACAAATATGCTTTTTGTCCAACTAAAAATAGAATACAACAAACATGTAGCCCCATCCAACACCCTCTCTTCTTAAATAGAAACAGATTGTAGTTGGGATTGATCGCTTGGGTTTTGCTTAGAATTGTTAGTGTGACTCTAGTTTAAATACTACTTTGAATTTTGACAAACATGGCTCTTTCAAAGTTTGCCAGGATGATTGACGTGGAAAAGAACATAGCAGGCGTTCATTTCCAAAAAGATACAGGAATCTTCTGGCACCTGCTTAGGTGGATTTGGGTGCCCTCAGAAATATACCTCCCCTTTACACTCCACCTTCCCTCCATCCTCGAACATTTTTTTCTTCTCATTTTGTGTGCAAATCAGTTATTATTTTTAGGCTTAACCCTCACATAATGCATTCGACTGCAAACACTCAGAAAAAGGAAACAAAAACAGTTCAAAGAGAGCAAAAGGAGTTGGTTGTGTATGTTTTATTAGGATGTCTATTTTAAATATAATTGACTTTGCAATTTTGTTATTGTGTCACCAAGTGTCGTATAGTTCTTAACATGTAAGTGCAAAACAATGAGTAATTGCTGTTTTGCTGAATAATACATCTGAGTTGCCAACGTCAAAGGTATTATTTTGTGTATTTCTAAACAAGGATGTTAACTGCAGGTTTTGACATCTAGAATCTTTTCATGAAATACTCAGAAACAGGCCAATTAAATGATACCTGTAAAAGTAAATATAAAGATACAACCAACTTATTTTCCTTGTCCTACTTTATGATGCCAGAAAATTAATCATGAAAAGTCACTCAGGGATAGAATTATAAAAGATGAAACTTAAAATTACAATCATACAGAAAGTGGGAAGCAACAACAGAACCGGAAATTGGATAGAGGTCAGGAAGGTGCACAGGAAGTCTTTCTGTGGGTATATTCTTCAGCATCAGCTCCCTACGGAAGTTACCACTGATATGCATAATAATGAGACAAATGCATTATTTATAGTCCTGATGGATTATTTTTCCAAAGTGACTTTTCTCTTCACCATCCTGAACATCAGAGTTCTTCTGTCAGTGTTATGTTTATTTAAAAAAATTAAAATGGTTTCCTGATTTGGAAAAAATAGGAATTCTAATTTGTTTTTGTGTAATCTTTGATGAAAGTCAAATCACTTTTAATAGCAAGTTGTAGATAAGTATGAGTACATCTGAAAGTCATAAACACTCTTCCTATTCATAGAGTATATATAAACAAGCAGGACAATAAAAAAATAGAGTTGAGCCCCCAAAGTTCTATTTTCCATATGTCTAGGAAATGAATGAGAAAAGATTGTGTAACTGTGTATCTAGTTTTTGTCTATCGGCCTACACCACTGGAAAAGTCATTGTGACCTAGGAATCTTGATACCCTTTTGACACCCTTGTCCTGCTATGACTTACCTTTTCCTTAAGTACCTTGAGTAAGTAAAACACACTGTACATAGGAGGTTGCACTTGACTGGCTGTTGGATGTGGTATTGGTGAGCTAGACAAATTGGGACAAGGGGTCCTTTGATTCTAAGGACCAACTAATTAGCATCAAAGTTACTGAGTAAAGGGATATTTGTAATACTCTCTCTTTTTCAAAGGCTGGTCAATTGTTTTAACACTTGCACTTCCAGATAGTTAAACACTAGTAGAGCCATCCATGTAAGGCATTTCTTCAGTGTCTCCGGATTTTAATGGATAGCTTTGTTACCCAGCTTCTCTGTTCACTGGTTTCTTCAGCAGACGTTAAACAACCTAGCACAGAACAGAAAGCTCCATTCCCATTTGCTTAGAGAACCCATCTCTCCTCTTCTGGGAATTGTTTTGACTTCACTGTGGAATTAATTCCAAAGACGATGAACGGAAGTGAACAGGGTATCTTTGTGATTGCAGCTAAGGACTATCAGCCAGCCATCCATCAGGACCAGGGGAGTTTTAGTGCACTTCCTCAGAAAGGTGATGACCATCTTTGAGGTGGGAGCTTGCGGCCAACTATCAGACTACAGGGGGTAGGGCTTTCCAAAGCACAGATAACCGACTTTATTCAGGGACATAGAGAGTTCTGAGCCACCTCACTGGGCTTGGTGGTTTGACTCGGTTTCAGCAGAGCGCTGGAGCAACCCAGGCCAGGGATCTAAAAATAGACGGGCTCAGCAGCCGTGTTGCAAGGTGCTTGGCGTGGGCGGCGCGCCGAGGGGACGGCAGACTGGTTGCGGAAGTAGCTGGGCGAGGCAGTGGCTGCGGCGCAGGCGGCTGGCCCGCCGCTGGGCACGACGCCTCCGGGTGACCGCCAACAGCCAGAGTCCTCCCGCAGCTGCTCGCTGCTCTCGCTTGAAAGTCGGCGTCTGATTGGTGTTTCCCGGGAGACGGGCTGCCAGGGCAGCCGGAGCTGGTGCGCCGGCGCGCACGTTCCCCGCGCTGGCGCGCGCTCCCGCACCGGCGCGCGACTTACCGGGAGGCCGGGGGCGCGCTGCAGCCCGGGCAGCGAGCGGGGCCGCCTCCTACCTCCCGCTCCGCCCCCCTCCGGGAGTCCTGCCAATGGATGCGACAGAACGGGGCCTCGCGTCTCCTCCGCACCTGGCACGCTGGGTTGCATCCACGAGGACTATTCTGTGTGGTTGTTTTTGCCTGCCCTTCGGCCCCTCTCCAGGGACGCGACGCCTCCCTCGGCGCCAGCTCGGGCTGCAGTTGCTTAGAAATCCCTGGGTTGAGTTAGTGACTGGGGATGGCGTCGGGGTATAGTCGCACGAGGACGTGGGTTGGAGGCTCCAGAAAGGCAACCTTTCCCAGCAGCCCCACTGCCTCGCTGCCCCTTCCTGAAGCTAGCAGACAGCTTTCCACTGAGGACACTTTCTCCAGTTCTGCTCAGACTTCTTCCCTGGATAAGGGATATTGTCCCCTGCCCCCCTCCCCTCCTCCAGCCCATTCATTTTTGAACCGAGGGAAAAGTTGCCTAGGGATGGAGTCTGTCGGGCAGATCCTTGGGAAAGGACATTTTGTGAATCGCGAGCTGGGATTGGTGAGCGCACCCCTCTGGAAGTCCTTCGCTAGAGCAACTTCCACCACGCTTTGGACCCCATAGCCCATTAATGACTCTTGGTGCACCACTCCCCACCCCCAGCCCATCAGATTTGCTGGAAATATTAAGCCCCTTGTTGGATGCATACAGTAGAAATTGTTCAGAGATTACTTTAAAAAGAGATCTGGGTCTTAAACACTTAGTAAAGCCAGTTAATAACATCATGCATGGACATTTAAACTTGTTGTACGTTGCAGAGAGGATTAGCGGGAAGTCACGCTGTGCGCAGCTAATGATACCATCTTAGCTCTGACCGGGCTAAATCCACCTCTACGGTCTGGCGCAGGTCTGGCTTGGTGGCCCTTGGGCAAGGGTAGGAAGGGGGAACGTCTTGGGAACTGGGAGAAAGGGGCGGGGGGTGGGGTGAGGAGTGGGAGGGGGGGATAGGAGCCCACGCCTCGGTCCGAGCGTCAGGTGATCAAGTCTGGCCCTGGCAAACTTCAGTAGGTCCTGGTGTTGAATGGAGACACCGGGGCGAGGGGGATCCCGCTGCGGGGTGCGTACTGATGAGCTATGGGCTTAGTGATACTAAAGGGCACCAGTCTGCTTGTAAAGCAGTTTAGATTCCATTAACTAAAGGCTGTTCCCAAGGTCAGTTGCAAGCTCAGGTGAGGCTGAAAGTTTCTAAAGGTGATGGCTTTTTGCGGCTATCTATTTGCATTACAAAGGCCTTTAACTTTCAGTCCCTCTTCTACAAAAAGTAGTCAAACTCTAGATTTCACAGGTATATTATTATTCACAACTTCCTGTCATAGGTGAGCCCAACTGGTTTTAAACAAATCACAGTTTTAAGGCAGTTAGTGATTACCTCATGACAGGGCCAATTAGCAATAATCTTGGGGAAATTCTTGAAAAATGCTGTGTTATTAAAATCCCCATTTCACGATATTCATTTGTTGTCACTAAGCAGCTGCCTGATGGATT